ACTACTGTGATCTATATCCTTATAGCTATAGGTGCAGATAAAGGCTTTGTTTAATATAAAACTCTGCTTAGAGCTACCTTTGTTTAGCTCTCTTTCACACTCTCAATATGAAACCGCAAATACTTTACATTTCACCACAAATGCAACTCTGTGAAAGGTGGGGTACTCGTGACAAATTATAAAGCTCTAAACCCGTAACGTTGAACCTGGGACATTCCAGCAGACCGCCCTGCAACCCACCTCAGACAGAAAGAGAGTCATGTCTGATTTTTCAATGCTGGGACATTTATGAAAGCCAGATGGTAAATATCTTTACACTTGACATTTCAGGGCCCTGATAACAAATATTTTCATAACTAAGTATGGGGGTTTGAGATAACGGTATTAATATTTGTTTAAATTATTATAGCATGAGGTTGCCAAGTAAAGAAGCAATGGGCATTATCACAAATCTTTAAAAAGGACAGCGATTAAGTGTACTTGCTTTTTCTTTTGGCAATAGAAAAATAAAGTCTCTGTGGCTCTCAGCAGTGCAATTTTCTGATGCCAAAGCTATCTCTCTAAAATCCTTTCAATATGCAAAAGCTAACCTCTCTTCTCTCCATTAAAACATATGAAAAAGTGTATAGAAATGTTACGACTCAGTGAGTGACTTAAGATCACAAACACGCTCAGAACTTCACTGAGGATAAAACTATAGGTTTGCCATTTGTGCGAGCAAAATATTTGCTCAGTTGATCACAGAATGCCACAGTACTAAACACTGTCATTTATCTGAATTGCACATTTAGAAATTAGTTGAGAATTTTCACTTTTACATTTACTTTGCCCTTTTTTTGCCTTTTTACAGATCTGACAACATTCTTTTGTCTGAAGATCCTGTTATTTCTGAGCTTGATTTTGCTTCCCATAGTACTTCCCATTATAAACTTAAATACAATACACAGAAGTTCAAGTGAGTTCACAGTTCATAAATCCAGCCTATATGCACTAAGAAAAAACTCAGATTGCATTAAAATTGCTCTGCCTTTAATCACTCTCATTTATTTTTAGAGTATTTAACAATACTTCTGTTAAATGACTAGATTCACACCACAAATTCAATTAATAAAAATAAAAGACTGTTTGCTATTCTGAGAGGCAAGATCTAGAAGGTAGTGTCATCTTTGGAGAAAGTAAGCTAAACTTTATCTTAAAAGATGGCCGAAGCTAAGAAAAGCTAGGGAAAAAAACCCTGAAAGCAATGGAAACAAGAACTAAATGTCCTTTTCTGCACGATTCCTAAAGGCCCTATTCTAAAGAATAACCATGTACCTATCCAGATAAGATAAAAAAATAGTGAATGAAAACCAGACATTTTTGGTAGCTTGGAGAAAGACATTTTTGTTATTCAGCGTCAATTATGCAAAGAGAACCACTATATGAAGAAATAATTTGGTATTTTCACATATAATGGAAAAATTTACCTGCTGAAATTTTGCAGGCATAAGAGAAGTGTTGGGTTACAGCACATTCAGAAGTGATGCAGAACACTAACAGGAGCTGTGCGGCAGAAGCAGACTTGCACCCATGCACCAAAAAGGGAACTGTGCTTGTAATTCATGCCTGCTATGAAAGGCAGTACGTGCACAGGTAATTCTGTGAACATGTATGTGAGAGCGTGCAGGGGGATTAAAACTTCTAAGATTAGCTGCAGAAGGGTGCTTAGAAATTTGTGGGTACTCATTAACATTTTATAGGTGTCTACTGGTGGTGTTACCTGCTGTATTGCCGCTCTCGATCTTGAATGTGTAGTTGGTTGATTGCTGGTTAACTGTTATAAATAAATCCATAGACCACTTTCATCTTGATTTGGTATAAACCACATAGCTGAACAGTTTTTCCATGTGATAATCATGAGGGAATAAATCATGAAGAGGGAATAAATGTTCTTTTTTCAATACAAGAATACAGAGACATCAAATGAAGGTACCAAAACACAGGTTCAAGACAAAAAAAGGAGTTACTTCTTCAAACAATATGTAAAGCAATCTAAGAATTGTTTGCCAAAACAGGTACTGGATACTAAATGGGTTAAAAATTGATTGAAAGAAATTAATGGGGGAAAAAATGGCTATTAAATATAATAGATACATCTGCTAAACCACAAATTATTAAATGTACTGAATATATTTGGTATACTGAATGATTACACAGGAGAAGTAACACTACATTTTTGCTCTATTCTTGTATTTTTGCCACGCATTTACCAGAAGCCACTGGTAGAAAAAAGATATTGGACTAGATAAACCTTTGGTCTGAGCAGTTGTCTGCTGTTTTCTCTCTCTATTGCAGGATTTTATTTCTCTACTAAAAACTAGTTCAAGAATACTTCTGCCATGTTGCTTAAGTACTGCACATAAATCTTTTTTATCCCAGAATAAATATCAAGGACATACTGAATTTCCACAAAACCACAAGTACCAAACTTTATAAACCAGTATGAGTCAAACTAAATAAAATTCCACTTGTTATGCTAATGGAGTTCCAAAGTCCCCCCCAAAGGCCAGAAACGTTGGCAGAGTGTACAATTTATGTAACGATTCTGTGGAAAACCCTTAGAAGTGCTGGAGTAATGCTCTGCTTTTCCCCTACCACAGGAACGATCCACAAAACAATATAAAATCAGTTCTCGATTCAATGAATTTTCATCCAGACAAAACAAAGAAGAGGAGATGCCTGTAACTTGGCTTGCTTTACTCTCCTGGGAAGCTTTATGCTATCAGTGCATGTTAAGAGAGGAACAACAAATGGTCCCCATTTGCGTTACGATTTAGATAAAAAGCTACACCCAGCAGTAAGTGAAGAGCCATTCCTATATGGAATTGGAAATCACTTGCTTCAAAGTGCTCTCACTTTCCCGCCTCCCTCTCTCTAGCAAATATTTTTCACAAGAAATAACAGATTTTTTTCACAGCACAATTTTCTCCCAAAGCTAATTTTAGAATCACAAGTAGATATCATATCCAAGAAACATGATTTTAGGCCTATAAAAAATACTTTTCAATATTATTCTTAAGTTTAATCGCAGTAACATCCTATAACACAGCTTAGCTCCACTTAATTTCAAAAGTAAATATTTTCACAGCAGTTCAGTGATAACACAGCACTTCTGCGAAATAACCGAGGACTCCATTGTTACAGAGCTGTTTTCTTGGGAAGTGCATTTAACTGTTAAAATATTCTACTCTGTGAGAATATGAGGATACTTACCCTTTTCCAAAGACTTACACATGCTGATGTCAAGACAACGTATTCCAGAAAATCCCAAAGCTTGAAACAAATTTCACAGGGACAAAATACACTCACTGGACTAACTTTTTGTTATAGTTAGGCACAGCACATGGCTGAAAGTGATCTTACCTTCAAACGCGGTATATGGAAGGGGTGACTGAGGTACGAAGGATCAAACTGGACTAGAATCTGCTGGCAAACTATTAATCTACTACAGCCTTTTTAGAAAATAAATTCTGGAGACATTGTGTCAAAGATAGTTTAATGCCAGTATCTTACAAAACATTAAAAATGTTTCATAATCTCAACATAAGTATTGATTCCATTAACATTTTTATTGAATGACAATTACTCATTTTGATTCCTTTCTTCTCCTGTCCTCATTTTCAGATAGGATTTAAATAACTATTTTTCTAGAGAATGTCAATACTGAGATCTGTTTACAAAAATTTCTCAGACCACCCATTAGCATAGTATTTAAATCATAATGCTGTATGACAAGTCCCTATCCCTTCTTTCGCCAGTTCGACTACTAATAGTTGAAACAGTTATGCAATATCTTACAAAAATAATTTGCAAGATTTGTTTGTGTATTTTAAGGAAACTCCAGAAGTATTAACGTACTTTGTCTTTTCCAAAAAGAATTCAGACTTTCATGCCACTTTCTCTACTATTCCATCTGGCTTCTTGGTTTATTACATTGTCCTCTTTGCGAGATCACAGATGTGATTTTTAGGAGGGAAGAACACAAATCTCCTCCAATGAAGAGAAGCTTAGGCTCTGATCTTGAAAACATATATATACTTCACACTGCAGCAAAATATATTCCCCTCCTTGAGAACCTTAGATGACTAATTTAATGTAGTCTTTTGTAGGCAGATACAGAATCTTTTGTGTTGCGCAGTATAAACAAATAAATGTTTTACAGGTGTGCATTTTCAAATTCTTACTTATATCTAATCACCAAATGTGATCGTCAAAAATTATCCCTAAACAGATGCATTCTGACTCTAATGTAATCTAGGCCAGATTCTGAGACTTGTGTTTGTCTTTTTGCACATAACTCTGTGCTGACACCAAAATAAGAAGTCAACCTTAAGGCCACCGTTTACCCAGGCCTGCATTTCCATTTACCTCCCATCTACCCACCCATGTAAATTTGGCAACTTGTCCTTTCTTTCCGTTACATCGAGTGCTCAAACTTTTTACCAATATATGAACAGAAGAAAAGCAGGGGGAATTAATATGGAATGATATCAAAATTTAAAAACATCTATCTATGATAATTTACTGACACTCCTTTCATATAAGGCACATTAACAGGTAAGCTATCCTGCAACTAAAATTGATGTATTACCTTAAGAAATCTGATTCAAAGGCAAAGATTACACTGTTACAATGTATAATTCATGTTGTCAGCATGACATTATAATTTAATTAAGAGGCAAACACATTTCGCCTCCTCAGCAATTACTTTTTTAAATCTGTGTCATATGTGATAAAGATGATTGTGTAAATGACTGTATCAACAATTTATATGATTTGTCTCATAAAACCTTCCCAAATGTAAACATTTTCCTCAGTCTTTTTCAAGAAATTGGCACTTAAAGTATATGCATAATAACATATTTTGACTACATTAAAATTTTTTTTAAGTAATAAAAATCAATCTGGCATAGTTCCAAAGTTTCCTGAATAGGCTTAAAATGCATCTCCAGTAGTCTATGCTACTTTAGTGTTAAATAATGAGGTAGCACATTGTTCCAAAATTGTTCTGAATTATGTAAACCATTTGCGACATGCTGTTTGGACTTCATTTTTTGTTTAGAGTTGTTTGGTAAAGCACTACCTTCTGTCTTCTCTGGCTTCCTGGTTTTGCTTTTCTTTTGTGGAAGCTTATTAATATAGTTTTTTCTTTTATATTTTGCTTTTTCCTCTTCCTCTCCTTCCTTCTCCTCTCCCTCATCCTCTTCTTCCTCCTCTCCCACATCTGCTTCCTCTTCTTCTCCTTCTTCCCCCTCTCCTTCTCCCCCTTCTTGTTCCTCTTCTGCCTCTTCCCCTTTTTCTTCTTCTCCCTCTTCCCCTTCTTCCTCTTCTCCCTCTTCCCCTTCTTCCTCTTCTCCCTCTTCTTCCTCCCTTTCCTCTTCCCCTTCTTCTTCCTCTTCCCCTTCTTCTTCCTCCCCTCCCTCTTCCTCTTCTTCATCCTCCCCTCCTTCTTCCTCTTCTTCCTCTCTTTCCTCCTCTCCCTCATCTTCTTCCACTCCCTCTTCTCCCTCATCTTCTTCCACTCCCTCTTCTCCCTCATCTTCTTCCACTCCCTCTTCTTGTTCCTCCTCTACTCCCTCATCTTCTTCCACCTCTTCTCTCTCTTCATCTTCTTCTCCTTCTTCATTTTCCCACTCCTCTTCTTCCTTGTTTTCATTTTCTTCCCCCTTCTCCCCCTCTCCTTCTGCCTCTGCTCCTTCCTCTTCCTCCTTCTCATCTCTTTCCTCTTCTACTTCATCCTCCCCCTCTTCTCCTTCTTCCACTCCATCCTCCCTCACCTCCTTAGTCCTATTTCCATCTTCCTCTTCCTGTTCCTCTTCTTCCCTCCCTGCCAATGATTCTCCTAACTCCTCTTCACTCTCTTTGTCTTTTTCATCCTCCCTTTCTTTGTTTTCGTCTTCATTTTCCTTTTCATCTTCTCCTTCTTCTTCTGCCTCTATCTCTTTTTCTTCGTCCCCCTCTGTATCTTCACTTCCTTCCTGACTCTCATCTCTTCCCTCACTTTTAACCTGTTCCTCCTTTTCCTTTTCAGTGTCTTCCTCTTTTGCATACTCCTCCTCCATATCCTTCCTTTCTCTCTCACTCAGCATTTCTTCTTCCTCCATCAACCTGCCTTCCTCATCTGCTTGCTCTTTGCCATCTTCCTGATTAATCTCTTCAATCTCTTCTGCACCCTCATTCTCACTGTCTCTTTCAGCCTCTGATTCCTCTCTTTCATTTTCTTCCTCATTATCTTTTTCCTCTTCATCTTCATCTCTTTCTACTGAAACTTCACCTCTATCTTTTTTAATCTTACTCTCTTCTTCTTCCTCACCTAGTTCACCTTCACAGGCAACTGTTTCATCTGATTTTTCTTTTTCACTTTCACTCTTGTCATTGCCTTCACTCTCCTGCTCTTGATTAGATTCCTCCTCATTCTTAATTTCGAACTGCCTGTCTTCATCAGATTTAGCTTCAGAGTTTGTTCCTTCCTCATTCAGGCTTTTTATATCAGTCTCTTCTACATATTCTTTCTCATTGTTTGTAGCTTGCATCTCCTCAATCTCACTGTCTTCTTTTTCTAAATCCAAATCTTTCACTTTTTCTACTCTTTTCATTGCCTTCTGGACCTCTGTACCTTCACAGTAGTCCTCTTCTTTTTCCCTACTCTTAAGTATGTATTTTGGAAGATCATTAGTACTTTCCTCAGTTGAAGATGATGATGTAGTTACAGCTATTTGTTTCAAAAATTGATCCTTTTTTTTAAACTCTCTCTGCTCTTCACTACTTTCTTCTCCTCTCACGCGTATTCTTTTGCATTTATTAGATTTTTCAACAACATTCGTTGTTTTGTTTTGACTTTCTATTGCTTCCTGACTTCCTTGTGTTTTAACAGGATTGTACTTTTGTACAATTAATGAATTAGTCTGGGACCGATCCCTGGATGCAGAAGGAAGTACATCTATTTTAAGGGATTCCTTAGATTTAACAGCTTTTGACTTTTTATTGGAATAATTCAGTTTTTCAGTCAGAATTTGTTTCTCAGTGGGAAGATTATAAATTACATCCTCTCTGACAAATTCAGGATTTTCCGTATATTCTTTTTCCCCTTTCACTAATCTGCATTTGTCCCTAGTAATTTGTTGAACACCACTTTTCAAAGTACTAACACTTTGTGCATGCTCAGATTTACCTTTCATTGCAATTTTTTTGGCCATAGGCTTCCCTACAAAGGCACTACTTTTTTCTAAATCTCGTCTCGGTGACTCTGAAAGTGAAGACTGCTTTTGTAAAGAGACAGAGTCTAATTTTGAGCCCTCCTTCATGAGATCAGAATCCTTGGGTTTCAGCCCACCCTTACCATCTCTTTTCAGTTTCACTTTTTTATAGTTCTTCTATTCCACACGAGAAGCAGAAAATTAAAAAGAAAGAAGGAAAACATTAAGGACAAATGACAGCAAAAGAAAAAGATTACAAAAACATCTGAAGCAGAAAAGAAACAACTTGTGTGAGGAGACTAAAAGATAGCATAAAGGGTAGAGTGTTTCACATGAAATGAATTTACAAGTGCATATATTAGAAGAACATAACATTTTCTTGATGGCAAATGTACTACTACACCTTTTTCACTATCCAAGTGCTCAAAGCGAATGCAATAAGAACTGTGCAGCCACTGTCACATCCCATACGCTAGAGCTCTCTTACACCTTCCTCCACCTTTCCCCTTTGGAAAACTGATGCACTCACTGTTATGCACTTTCTAATAATTTTGAAAACCTGTTGTCTTTCTGCTTTAAATTCTACACATATGTAACAAATCCTGCAGAATAATTTTTTAAATAAAAAATAAAATTATAATGAAATATACCAAAATGGTGAAATGCTGGGATCACTTTTGGAGTGAAATAGAGAATACAAAAGTATCATAATTTCATAATTAAAACCAGTATTATTGCTCCTTTAAATATACTCCATGGTGAATATCTGCAAATGAAATCTTTACTTACATTGTGTCCCAAAAGTCAATTAAAATATTTTAATATCAACAAAGCAGTAGAAATGTATGTTATCAGCTTAAGTTACAAAATGTATTATCATAGTCTCTTGCTCCTTAAACTGATGAAGTATTATATCCTCTCATCTCAAACGATGGTGGATATGAGGATTTCTATGTGCCTGCACAAATTCTCTCTGACTTCAGTCAGCTTCTTAGAATTTTAGCTTGTGGATATTCAGAAAATTAGCAAAAGGAGGCCTATAAAATTTACCTAGCTTTTTAAAAACTTAAAGCAGTACAATAAAGTACAAGGATAATACAAGAATTATAGATTTTTTTTAAACATCAGTACAAGTATACATATATATATATAAAAAAATTAGTTACGCTACCTTTTTTTTTTGGAGTGGTGATAATTTTAAGGACTGGTCACTGGGATTCAATTTCATTGCATGTGTCTGCAAAAAATAAGATCTCTGTTAAAAAAATAAATATAACTAATAGGAAAAGCAGCATCAAAGCCTAGTTCTACTGAACAGAGCTATTACATGAACATTTTAATATTATTGCACAGTCAGGTTGATACAACTCTGTATCATCACTCAACTCGCCTATTTCACTTCTACTCCCTCATTTACTGCCTCTAAAGAGAGAGAGTGGTAACCAGCTTAAATGTCACCATGTAAACTGCCTATAGAGACTGAAAGCTACGTGTCCTCTCTTACAGCCCACAAGCATGTTTCAGATGCTCACCGTGAAGTTCTGGCTACAAATATAACCTTACTCCCTCATCAGCAAAACCTTCAATGTAACATCTGGTTTGATACCACAGCCTTGAAAGAAGATGTTCAAAGAAACATTACATAGCAGAAATTTTAATTGGAATCTAATGCCTTTATCTACTCTATGTAAAGCAAAAAAGCAAAAGGCAAAGCAATGTAAAATACTACTAGGTGGGCAAGCACAGTGAGATTTTGGTCATCCCTTCCCATATACTCCAAATGACAAGATAATGTTTGTTAACTGCTTATGGTTTAATGACCATATTCTTTTTCAACACAGTGAGCATGGACAGTTCTGGTTTCTGACCCACAAGAATTTGTATCATCAATATATGAAAGGTTTTTCCTCTTCTTGTCACACTTGTCAATAAGATGAATGTTGCCACAGTTTAGAAAAATTGAAACAACTATGCTGTAACAGATTATTTTCTTTCAGATTCAAGAAGAGCAATCATTTTATTTTGTACTTTGACAAGTTTGCCTGAAAGACTTTTTTCAAATTTACTGTTTCATTCTGAAAATGTTTTAAAATTGATTCACGATGGGTACAAAAACAAAAAGAAGGAAGTCTAGCACAGTAAGTGTGCAGTATGTTATAAATAATGCCTCAGTAAATTAATGAAGGCCACGTTGTGCATCGTATCTGAAAACAATTTTTTTCTTGTTAATGAAAATAAAGTTTTATCACTGTTAAATAAATGGTATGCAAAACCAGATTGTTAAATTACTAAGTCCTGTTAAGTACAAACAAGTAATAATTCCCGTAAAATGTGCAATCCCTCCAGCATAACTGTCAACATATTCTGAGCTGACTCCACAGTGAGTTGCTCATTTGTTTCCATTCCATTGAAGTCAAAAAACAGACAAAATCCAATTCTCTTTCCAGTGCACTGCATTAAGGCCAGGACATGCCCTATTTGCCAAGAGAACAAAATGTTTTGGAAAGGTGTCCAAGTGATAAGGTGAACATATTTTTTAAATGAAAGAAATACATAGGAACATGCTTGGGGATCACCAAATAATCAAAATGTCTGCATTTTGGTCTTCCCTTTAATATAATCCACCTGTACTAAAAAAAACGCTTCTCGAAACAGGAAAAGATAGGTTTCTGCTTCATTTCCTGCAATTCTCTCTCTTGGAAATCATCAAGAAGAGGAAGGTCAGAGCTAGAGATCACCATGTAGTACCCGGTGTCCTTCCCCTTTTCTTTCCAATACCCAGAGCTAAAGTGTGGGGAGGGGCTGCACTACTTCAACCGCTTCAGTCTCATTTTACAACATTACTTGGAAAATGAAAACAAACTTTAGCATTGGATAATGGTGATGTGAAATGCATGCTCATTTAACAGTATGTCAGTACTTCTTGGTGCCACATATGTCATTCTGAGATAGCTAGGAGTTCTGTACTACAACTTGAAACATGATTTAGCTGCTTTGTTCTTCCCCTGAATAAAAATGATTGAATCACAGATTCATTAGTGGAATATATTACCATATTTAGGATGTCAGTTGTATCTCCAAGGTTTCTGTCATTATTTTCATTATCTGAATCTTCTTCTGCACAGCCTTCACCAGGTTTATCTTTTTGATGATTCTTTTCTTCAAGGTAAAATAGGGGGAAGAAAACAAATACCATAGGAACATCCAATATAAAGCAAACAGAACACCTCACTCTTGTAAAATAGGAAATTATCTCTATTTTACTGACATAGGACTGAAGTCATAGAATCATAGAATCAGTACGGTTGGAGGAGACCTCAAAGACCATCAAGTCCAACCGTATACCCAATCCACCATGCCCACTAAACCCTGAGATTCCTCATTCCCCCATCCTAAGACACAGCAGAAACACTTCCACCTCCTTTTCATCAGTATTAACATTAGAGGTAGCTCAGCAATCTGGCCTCAGTGCACTGTAGATCTCTGACTATTTTTGCAGGCTTTCAAAGCATAAATATTACATGGGACAAACCTTCTTTTGGACAATCTCTTTAATAATAGTGTACCAATTAGTCTAAATTAGCTGCAGTTGTATTATCTACATTGCACATTATCTGTGCAATGGATGGAGAGACAGTTACTTTAACTCCAATGCAGCATCATAAAAACGTACCCGTATGATTTTCAGGTTCACCTCAAGTTCATCAGGTGCATGACCAGTTTCATATGGCACAAAACCTGAGGTTTTAGGCCTCAAGAGACTCTAAAGGCAATTCAAATTTCACTGCATTGCTTTCCTGGAACCAGAAAAGCTAATGGACATGCTGGCAGCTTTACAAATAATCATCTTAATTCTAACTGAATTAATTACTTTCAAATTGGATTTGACAGTCCAATAAATCTGAGCTAAGTTTTACACAGAAGCACTGCATTCTGCACTCTTCAGCATTGCTCTTCCCAGGAAATCACACATGCCCAGGAATTCAGATGAAGTCCAGAAATGCTCTAGAGAATCTGTTCAAAAGTCCAGCAGTGTATCAGTATCATTGTTATCTGCGCTTCTGCATTAGCTAGAAGATTGCAAATCCTTATTATCTTAGATAACAGAAACTGAAGAGTATTTATGCGTTTCCAAGTGAAGAAAAAAGATCCTGTAAGAATTAGTAGACCTCTTTTCTTGTCCAGGATCCCTTGCATGCCTTTCTGTGTCTTTAAGATTGTTCCTAAAAAATTTTTTTTCCCGTAATTCTTTTTCTTTTTCGTGAAAATGGAGAAAATGGTTACTAATCTTACAGTATTTTTGTGAAGCCCTATTTCTACAGGCTTGAGGAACCAGAGGTACAATTTCGAAGTTGTTTTTCTTTCATTCAACTCTCCTCTAAATCTCTAAACGTGTTTTCCAAACATGAACAGTGTAAGGCAATTTCTTGTATGCATTTCTCAAATTTCCTGTGTGTATGCTGCTAGACCCTCCTGAACTAAGACTGAACTTAAATCTTTCATGTTCAAACTGAGCATTAGTTTATGAATGTTGAGAGCCAAACTACATAATTATCAGAAAACAGCAGCAAGATGTGGAGACACTTCACCTTTTTCATGGTCTCTATCCTTCATAGGTTCAGCTTTAGGAAGACTTATTGCACAAAAACGGAGTGGGCTAGTGTTGCTAGTCACAGGTAGTGAAGATTTTAAAAAGTTTTCTCCCAGTGGAGGCAGAGTTCGTGCCATTCGAATAAACTGTTCTGGCGACTTTTCCTTTAGAAAATTAAACAAAAAATATATATTGAGAGTAAGAGTAGTAGAATAAAACGTAAGCAAGCTCTTATACTTAACAGCGGTATTTTCTTTTACTTGATGATACAGTGTTGTAACTTTGCATACAAAGCATAAACAAAATTTCTTTAATATTTTAATTATTTATAGATCTAAAAAGTAGAGAGGTATGTAGTGGGATATTTTAGGTCATTTCTACACAATAATCTCAAGCAGTCTTAAACTACAAACAAAGGAGAAAAAGAATTTTGATTTTTATTTAAAATGAAAATACTAGTCTCTCAAATAACATTGAGGTATTTAATCCACAACATCAATATATTTTTACAAAATAAATGTGGGTTTGTGGTAGAGTTAGTTTTCAGGCAGGTAAGTGAAATGATCCAACTCCTTGTGCTGTTCAAGGAAATCACATGGAATATGTAGTGGAGCTAAAGGAGAAAAAACTACCATTTTAAGTAGCTGCAGGATCTCAGGATCATTTTAAGATGACTGTGAAACTTTCTCCTTTGATATTTTATAAACTATGAACTTGTTTAATATATTCAAGGACACAGGGAACAACAAAAAGAGGTTCTTGTTCTTTTTAAAAAATATTTCTATGATTTTTTTTTAAAAATGCAAAGTAACAGGCTCTACATTTTAGAATTTAAAAAAATACAAAATTAATTTGAGTCTTTTTCATAGAAATAAACAAGTAAAATCTGAACAATACCTATCTTTTACCTGCATCAATGTTTAGGACCAGGGTAGATATTAATTCTTCTTTTTATGCATTAAAATTAAACACGTATTTCAAGAAGATACATTTATCTGCTGGGTATATGCTGTGATTTTAGTTTTAAAAGTGATTTTGTTTCCTAAAAGAAGTACGGCAACTCTAAACAGCTCAATGTACCCTCTCTCGACGTCGTATTCGTGCTGATGTTAGTTGTAAGGTGTTTGTTAGTAGTGAGTGTCCACTCATTTTAGAGACAGTAGCAGTCAAACGGCTGTCATATAAATCTAAGAGTACTTCTTCAGATCCTTTAGGTCTTGGAGCAGCAAAAACTAGCATGTGACAACCACCACAAGCAACCTACGCACCAAAAAAAGGTCTGATTATTTCATTTGCAAGTATCAATACAAGGATCTCATTTTCTTACAAGCATCTCTAGGGGCTTAGATTATAAGAAAAACATAGTAAAAGTAAGAGATATTAAATTGCTTCAAACTTAGCTCCTAATGTCCTTAGCAAGACAGAAGTACTTAACTATATTTATTAATGACTAGTGATCTATGTTCACTTCTTACTTAAAAACAATATATTTGTATTGAACAGAACACAAGACAGGTCTATCAAATTATTGATCCAGAAGAAAGCAAAGATATTTCCACTGATTTTAAAGGGATTTGAACTAATTATTTTGATGCAAGTCAAGTGTAGGCAATACCAAGAGCTTCAGTGATACAAACTTAGATATTTTATCACAAAATCCACAAAATGCAAAGCAAATCCTACACCCTCCCATAGATAAAGTGTTATCACATGAAGATCAGAGGTTTCACTTTTTAAAAACTTTAAAACCCTTACCACTTCTGATAAAACTCCCTTAAACATTACATCCAGTAAACAAACAGAAGTGATCAACAGACTTTTGTCCCAAATTTTCCTCAATCCTGAGTCATGTTTGCATTTTTGATGCTGGCAATTCTGTGACATTTATTTCTTAAACACCTCAAGAAATAGATGAAAACAATGCCCTTAAATGTGTTTCTGCTTTCTCATCCCATTTGGATTCAAAAAAGCAACTCCTCAAATTTTCTTAAGGTTTAAAAATATCCCACTGTCCAAATAATTGTTAAAATAAAAAAGATGACACTCTGATGTTTTCAGAACAGGTATTAGTTTCTCCCTATAGCCAACAATCTAATAGCAACAAATATTTAATTTTATATGCTACCACAGCTCTACAGACCAAAACACTATAGCACAACACTACTGAATACAATCCTAAAAAGCAGTCTGTATGTGTAGTCCAAGCCAAAGACATTCCAAACTAAATGAACAGTGTGGTAAGTAGATATCACTTCCTTTTTCTTTCAATTGATGTCATCTACTAATTAAATGTTATAGAAAGAAATAATTCTACAATGAGATTTAACTCTCATTAATAACTTGTTTCATTAAAAAAATAAGTATTTTGATGTCTGAGAAGCATGAACAAAAGTTTTACCAAAAGGACTGTGAATCTCAAGAAATTATAACATAGAGTGGGATCAAACAGGTTTGTAAAATTCACTTCTCCAAGGCCTAACTTGCCATGTCGCCCATCTCCAAAAGTAAACATGAGGCCATTCTCTGCAAATGGAAAAAATAAGTTGTTATTAATAAAAACTAACATTCAACACAAAACCAGAACAAAACCATTACAAACAAAGTAACAGGCCATGCAAGTAAGGAAAATTTCTCTTCCAAAAGCAAAACCTGAACAATTATTTTTAGATTTTCAACAGATGAATATGATCAAAAAATACATGTATTTTCAGGCAAAGTACTGTCTGAGATGAGGGTTAGTCTAGACAATTTGTAAAAAGAAACAAAAACAAAACAACAAAATAGTAAGATTGAAATTGTACAGAAAAACAAAAGCTTTTAAACAAGAATACTTGTTAGCAAGGCATCATTATGAGGTTGTAATTCCCCAGGAGGTAATGGGTACAGAGCTATGCATGGCATGGCTGTGAATCAGAAATTCCTGATTCCCGAGAAAGCCAGAAATTGAATCTGGCGTTCTCACCACCTCACTTAACCTTTAGCACTACTAAGTCTGCGTATCTTTTCTACTGCTGCTCGTTTTATAAAGAAAGCTTTTATGGTATAATAGAGAGTTGCTGGAAGTGCATTTCAGAATTTTTCACTTACATACCTGCTATTACAGCAGTATGATTTTCCCCACATGCAATGTTACATATTTTATGCCTCTTCAAGTGTTTCACAGACTTTGGTACTGAAGTTTCAAAAAGAAAAGTACCATGTCCCAGCTGCCCATATTGTCCAAGTCCAAAAGTATATACATCTGTCTCTGAAAATGTAGAGGCAAAATTAACAACAAACATCAGCATTAAAAAAGGAATGTTTTATCAGTTAAAAAATGTACCAACTAATCAATTCCATTTATCAATTAATAACAAAATACAACAAAATAAAAACCAGGAAATGAAGCACTAAAACATATACAGAAAAGATTTTTGAATGGTTCAATATGCAATATATTTTTTAACATAACTGCAAAATAATCCACTGATCAGATGTACACAAAATATCAGCTAACAAAAGATTTATAGGAGTTTACATACTGCAATTAATTCAAGACCACAAAGTTTACATATATGTACATTTTCAAGTACAATAGTCTCATCTTAATTTCTGGTTACCTACATGTATACTGTATGACTCTAAATTCAATAGACTAAATCTCTTTAAACCAATACTAATTTGTGTGTAAGAAGAGACTGGAACAGAACAGCTTTCAGTATTCTGTTCAGCTACCAAATCAGCCTTGCATCAAATACAGAGAACGCTATAATTGTGTTATCTTGTGACAGAAAAATCATCTTTCTGCATTTGTATTTTGGCCATTTAATGGACTGTCTGTGCCAGGAAAAAGAATAAGAGCTTCTCCAAAGCAATAAAGATTCTTGGTGTGTCCATCCCTGGCACTCCATCACAACAGGGGAAGACTGTAAAGCTTGGAAATCTTGATGAGGTCATGCTTGAAAAGGGAAATTCAAAGACTAAGTTTTTTTGGGAAAAGGAGGGGTTTTCCTAGAATTTTATTCCCTGCCCCTTTTTCTTCTGCATGTAGGCAACAAACTAAGTAGTACTTCCCTGGCTTTTCAAGTACTTGAAAAATTGTTATGAAAACCTGGGAAAGTCTAGGAAGGACAAAAAATATTCTATGTCAAGCAAAAAGAACTGAGAGCTGGGAGCAATGTATCATTCCATCCGTGTTGTGAACATGGTGCAGAGCATGCTTGCTCCTGCTGCACAGATGCCATCAGGTGAAAAATCTCACCACGTTCAAAAGCAATAAAGGAACGGCCATCCACAGCGGAATTGTGGAACGACAATCAACAGAGAATCTTTGCTTTTTGAGCATTTCTTTGTGTCGAGGAAACAAGGCTACTGGAACAGCAAAGGAAATTTCAGTGCCACGAAAGTAGTTTATACTGTGTGACCAAATTCTCAGGGGCAGCCACAAACTAGAGAAATATTAAAAACAAATTATGTTACCATTCCCTCAAACTAATCCTTCACTACTGTCAGGGAAGGAGAAGCAGAGAACAGACCAGATTCCATATCACTACCAGAGTATGCTTACTAACTTATATTGAACTTTCCAATTTCAAAGGAACCACAATGAAACACTGTAACACTACGCATGGAAATGTTCTTTCTAGGAAAGGGTTTGCCCTTTCTGTTCCTTCTAAATTGTTCCATATTAAGATGTCGTGAATTCACACCATAAGAACCCCCAATGGTCTCATACTTTTTCAGACTGTAGATGAAAAATACTGAGTAAAGCCGGTTTTTTACTAAATGTAACAGCAAAGCTCCCTCTGTTGGAAATTTCAGTGTAAGAAAGGAACACCCCGGGATCTTTAAAAAGTAAAACAAGAAGTAAGACATTTTCTGTAACATTCAGATTTTCTGCATAAGAAACAAGAAACTACACCTGAAAGACAGGAGCTTTCTCTATACGAATCGAAGTCTCATATTTATTTTAGTAAGTGACTTTCTCAGGATGGCTGATTCCATAAATTCTGTTTGGAAGTACCGCATTTGTCTTAACATTTCTTTGGAAACTGGCAGATCTTGTCATTTTGAAATTATATGGCTTTACATGATTAACATAATTATTTTGAGTGAAGTTGCAGTTTTTTCACATGATCTTTAATCCTAGCTTGAAACCTGCAATACCTTTTGCATTTGTGTTTAGAGGGAGATGTTTTCAAACGCTAACTTCAGAAGTCCAGGAAACTATTTTCTTTCCTCCTTTTCTACTGACAATGAGGAGAAGGGGCCAATCCAAGACCAGGTTGGAGTGTCTTTATAAGAAGAATGATTTCTTTTACTGCCCCTATAGACCAAGGGCATCTAAATTTTGCTCCTCCTAAATTTGCTTATTAGTCAATCATCAAGGCACAGGAAGACAAAAACCTTGCACCTTTCTTAAACGATTCACCACTCTGGTGCACAAGTGAGGCCAAACCTCAGTAATAATCTCATTTAGCAGAAATGAGGCATTTTCTCCAATCTGTCTTTATAAATACATGGAAAGAGAAGTCTGTGGCAAAGCAACCTCACAGACTTAGTGATAAAATGACAGAGGTGAATTTCATCATTCTGAACTTGAATTTGTAAATGAATTTGCCTACAGCACGAATTGAAAAGGAGATATAGCCCCATTCTCACTTTCTTCTCACTGTCCTCGGTCCCAGTAAGGATATGGTGGGATGAGACAAAGAAAACATACTGCCAGCCAAAGGGCAGATCCCGTTCCTCCATTCTCTCTCTTCAGTCCCCACTTGCACTGTCTCTGCTGTCCCCCCGGCTACGCAGTGAGCCAGCTCAACTCAGTAAGCCCCAGTTTTGGGGGGGTTCCCTGATATAGTTTGCTGTGGAATGGTCAAGGCAGCACCAGAGTGGTACAATGGGAGAGGAAAGACGTATGGCCGCAGCAGCAGGAGGGAAGCAGCACTGGCTCCAGTGCCTCGGTGAGTCACAAGGAAGGCTCAGCCATATAACCGGACCCAGAAGAAACAGAACACAAGTCCTGTCTTGGCCTCGAGGAAGGAACTGCTGCCTCGCCAGCAGCAGCCGATGGGAAGGGCCCTTGAAGGATGAAGAGCAATGGTTTCAGAGCTTGCACAGAAGCCAATGGCTTCATTGTTCCAAGTGCCCTCCAGCACCCGAGTGCTGGGACTGCTTCTCCTTTACTTCCTACACTTTCTTTTTTTGGAAGAACAGGGATTTCCCTGTAACTCTGTATCTTCCACCTTTGCAGGCATCTTCTGGAGTACATAACACGGTCTTTAATCTCCATAACCGCTCTCACTATAAATAAAATAGTTCTAGGCAAAAATCTATACAGCTTTCAGATTTGTTTTTTAACACACGCTATTTGCTGAAAGAGCTGAGTGAGCTCCAATAGTGTTTCTAAGATTCATGCATTCCTTGCTATGTATTTAAGGCCATGGACAAAGTTAAAAATCCATGGAAGAAAAACAGAAACAGACAGGTATGCTTGTATCTTTCGACATAGATTCATTTCCCTTGAACATTATCATCATTATTATTATTACTACTACTACTATTATGCCTACAACAGGCTAGTCCCTCTTACAATAGCTTTATTTTTAAACAACTAATGCTGAAAAATGTTACTGTAAAAATCAGCCATCGACACAATACTTAGTTTTACCAGAGCTAGTAGTTGGATTTGGGGATTTCAGTATAAATAGTATACAGACTTAAGAATGGTTTGAAAAATCTAGATAATCCTATATGGTTTGAACAGTCAGTTGTGTCACGAAAAGGTAGAGCTTTTTCATCCTCTTTCAAAAGAATATCTTGACTTTCTTTTCTTTTTTAAAGACCTTGAGCCAGAAGATGAAAAGTCTAACATTTTACACACTACGGCACTAATATGCTGTATTGTTACGTCAAATGATCTATTCTCAAAGGACTTCTTCACTTTTTCCTTTGAATAGATGTCTTTGCTTTCCGTTCTTTCAGAGAATAAAAGGATGCAATATATCCTTTTATAGACAGTATTATTCCCAGAGGATCTGTCATAATCTGAAAAAAACTGGAAGATATTAAGGCCACTCCCAATCATCTGTTTCTTCTCCAATTTCTAGATTCACAAGTTGTTACTATTATTCTACTCTTTAACAAGCTTTATTGAAAAAGTACAAAAATTGATATTGCTGCTCTCCTCTTTCTTTTGAAAGTGATGACACCAACAGCTTTCATTTTCAGACAGAAGCATTTGCAAGCATTGCGGGTAGTGGATGCATTTTTTTTTAGTCTCTGAGAGAAGTCATCTGGGATGAGGATATGATATTCTTGAACCGGCTGATAGACGGTCATGAAATGAATGCTGCGACAGGGAGAGAAAGCTTTTGCAGGATAGAATTTTTAACTGCGATTCTGTTTATTCTCTAGAACAACTGCAAATATTAAATGCAGAAGTAACAATAAGACCTGTAAAGTCCAATACCATACTCAACATTTCTAAAAACCTGTATCTTTAAAAAGTTTTTTTCCAAATCATTGTTCTCAACAGTTTAATTTTTGCATCTCTGGGGAAAAAAAAAAATAAATCTGAGTTTCTCATTTTGGAGTTTCAGACAAAAAAAAATGAATTCTTTTAATATATACTTTCTACCATTTACTCTGATACTTGCTGGAGAGATTCCAAAGAATAGCCTGATTTAATAAACCCAGATAACAGTGGTTCCTACCATACAAAATTGCCAATAGAACAGATAAGCTAGTCATAAAAAAGAAATCAAATGAAGTGCTTTGGAATAGACTAATTATGTATGAGAGTCAGGAAGAAACTTGCCTTGTACTCAGTAAGATAACTGGATTACGCTTTCTTCTAATTCGATAAACTCTAAGTAGAACTGATGACAAGAAATGAGCCAAGATGTGCAACAGTTTCTCTATATGACATTTTCTCCTATCCTATTCCTGTGTTAAATGAGATAGATGAAACAGGGGCATATACAACAGTCAGACACTCGCTTCTTAATTTTTAAGATTGAAATGACACATCCTGAAAAACTGGGTAAACCCTGAAAAGATGAAAACCACATCAGTATATATAGTGTTACCAAAGCCAAACAGCACCCATTTTCATGGAAGGTGATACATGAAATCCAGAATTTCTTCAAAATTGTACTACATTCTTAATTTAGAAAAATGAGCTTAAAAGAGGTATAAATGTTTCTGCTCCTCTTTGAAGATACATTCCTCATCAGAATTCTCAATTTGTGGTCACACCACTTCATCTCAAGGTGCAATATACACTTCAGTACTGATTGCACCAGAAATGACCACTTTCTGCAGTACAATACCACATCGTATTACTTACAATCTCCCTCAGTTTTCAGTTTATGTTTCAGAAATTTTGGTTACATAACCTTGAAGGCACGCCACCAGATTGACAAGAGATGACTATTCAGCATTTTCAAAATACAGATTTAAGGACTGATATCTATACATCCTACCTGGTTTTACAGCTTTTGCATTTTGGCAGGAGGTTAATTACAGGCATGTTATACAGCTGTAGAATTCATTACAAGCCAAAGCTGGTATTTTTTAAATCACCTGTGGGCAAAGTGAAACTTCTCTTTCCTGCTTCTATACTACTACAGTTCAGGATAGAAATTGTGGAAATAAATAGCTAGCAATACTTTGTATACATCTTTTTGAAAAGCTAATTTACCATTGGCACACAACTATTTAACAGTACAGTAATATACACCATCTTCCAAGTACTATACATACAATCCTGTGAACTAATATGTAACAGCTGTATTTGCTGATTTTTATCAGTTGCATGGTATGTTGAATGTCTGTATCTGTACTAGTTTTATACCTACGCTAAAGATTCTGCTCAAAGTCACAGGCAAATTCTATATCACAAGAAGAGATATTTAATCCATTTGGGCATCCAGTAGATTGTGCATCTTCATCACTATTAACAGCAACTTGAAAAATGACTTCCTAAATACCTTCCTAAATATTCAACGTCATTTAAATTTACTACAGAATGGAACCTTTCCTCTAAAATTTCCCCCCTCACACCCATACCACTTTCAAGCTCCTTAGAGGAAAGAAACATCAATCATCCATGCTGCTCTAGGAGGTGCTGGCTTGTTACAATTCCAGTAAGAAAGGCACTCAGACTCTGTAAAGTATCTCTTAAAATGCTATTTATTGGAGCTATGACTACAAAGAAAAAGATAGTATCAATAATCTTATATCCCTTCAGATGCTGGGACTCCTGAGCTGTGTGGAATTGAACAGGCCTCCAGCCAGGCACAGCATGCCACACAGATACCATCCGTGAAAAGCTACCCCATTTTGGTCATTTGACCTCTTATAGGATTTTCTTACAAGCAAAACAACTCTATTAATCATTTATACTGTCAAACAAAAAGGACATTCACATGGGAACTTGCTGCTGAAGTTTTAAATAAAGGCAAGGACACACAAGTGGTGTAACCAGTGGTACCAAGCAGGTGCTGCCCGTAAGCTCCTCTGTTACAATCAGCTGGCTCAGTTGAGCCCATAGCCAAGGGAGATGCACAGCACAGGCCCGAACGTCAAACTATATGTGCGGCACAGCACAGGCCAGCACTTGGGTTAACTGCTACGTGGATTTCTACCTTCTTGATGTACAATTGTCTTCTAGTTAGGATCACTACAGCATCTTACGTTTCAGCGGGATGTAAATTCTTCAGCGTAAATTGAGTTTACTGATTAAGTTATAGGGCTGTAAAAAAAGACAGTTAAATTGCATACCTGTCAGCACCACTGTGTGTTCTCCACCACAAGCAACCTTATTAACCTTTTCCATAATTCCCAGTACGGGCTGTGGGACTCTATTGTTCTTCAGCTGTTCAGGCAATAATCCCAGTTTCCCATTCTGAGGTTCTCCAAAAGTATAGAGCTCACCATCTCCTGTGAAAATAGAGAACAGAGCAAGATTTTCAGCATGCATACAGAAGCAAGGATGGGTTGTCAAGACTGCTGCAGACACAAATCAGTAAGATAGAAAACGTTCATAATATGAACATTACAGGATAATCGAACGTATTTGTATAATGTCCAAACAGCTGTGCAAAGCAGTCTGCTTTGATGAGACAAGAGGTAGCTAAATTTTAGCCTGCTCCAAGATGAGAACCGCAATATTTAGCCTGCAAGGAATCTAGCCAAGAGAAAACCAAAACCATACACATCCTGCTTCTGAGGGGTTATAAGTCCCTCTGCAATCGGTATCTACGTCAAATGAAGTTGCTTGTAAGAATCTCGATTAAAACAGAAAATTGTTTTGCATGGAATTTTGATGGAAAATCCATGCTTTCTTCTTGCAAGATATAGAGAAAAAAAGAAAAAAGCAGAGTAAATGACATGAAAATGTGTGTGGTCTGGACAGCAAGAAAAGAGCTATATATCCAACAACAGGAATACAGCAGTGGTTCTATAGCAATAACTCCACCAGAACTAAGTTCAAAAAAATACCAAGATGTCTTTACAGATCTTTTCCTGTAACTTCTTTCTGATCTGCTACATAATCATACAAGAAGACCCTTCTCATTCATCCAGACTTTTTAAGAATCCAGTTCAAAACCTGTTCAATCCCAAATTTGGGTAATTCATTTTACTGTCAAGTTTCCTTTATCTTTTTCAATCACTCCCTTTGCTTTTTCACTGCTATGTAAATCTGAATTACCATTCAAGACAGCATTCTATATATCCTTCTATCATAGTTAAAAACAGAACATGTAAAATGTACTTTCCATTGCTATATTTACAATTTATCTACATCTTTTACATTTATCTACATTTTACATTTATTTACATATTTTTTAACAATTTATCTACAGCCACATTTCTGATTTTCTGTGCTAACGGGTCCTGAACTATTCTTATAGGTCAGAGTAAGACTTAGTTAGAAAACATTTCCTTACTGCCAGGAAAGCTTCAAGTTAATAGCTGAGTGTTCTCCACTTCTGAAAAAGATATCTGTAGAGTAGTGTCCTCATAGCAAATTGTGGCCCACAACCTGAATTTGAAATTACTTACCAAAAAAAAGATCATACACTATTACCTAAGAAAAAGTTTGGTTTTTAATCCCAGTTGGCTATAACAAAGCACAAGGATAAACAAACTCTCAAATGGAGCTACTCCAAGATAAAGACATGTTTAAGCTAGCATAGGAGCTGCCTGCTAAAGAAAATTTGAAGAGATAGCTACAGTTACAGAATCAACATAATAACAAACCCCAGACGTATACTCCATTATTAAAGCTCAGTCACCAGAAGCACTCATCTACGATATTTTTGGAAACATGCAGATTTGTACTTCAGTACAAAATGTACTTTTACTTTCAGAGGGATACATGTAGTGTTCACAAATTTACACCATTTAGAGGCGCTACTATTGCATGATGCACAAGTATCTGAGAGATTCTTACTCAAAAGCTACGAATTCCTCGCCAACATGAAAGCTGGGTTGACCTCAGAAATGCTGGTCTTTCCCCACAGACAATGAAAAGGGATGAGCTCAAAGAAAGTTTCACAGCTGAAGGCTTATTTAGGTGTTCAGAACTGACCATTAGAGAAGTCCATCCCTCCCTCCGTTGAACACAGGCAGAGCACAAGAAAACAAGCTTATTACTAGTTCTCTGTTAGTCTTTGTGAATATTTCCCCATTTAGATAGCTGCTACATTTGCTGCTTTGTCCTTGCACTTTGTCAGCCACAACTTAAAATCTGGGAATTTAAGGACAATGGCAATGACCAAAAAAATAAGCCTACACAGAAATAGGAAATATGGAAGAGCTAAAAGCAAACCTATGAATAAAAATATAAAATTGGAAAAATGAAGATACATATGCATTATAAAAAGCAAATGAAATTAGTCAAATTATTAAAAACAAGTTAATAAAAATTAAAGGACATGTTTCAAAATGAAGGGAAGTTTATTAAAACTTGGGCATACCAAGCCAGGACAGGAAAGGAATTCTATCTTTTTGAATTTTTAATTCTGATGATGAGAAAGTCAAACCTCAGTAAGAAATGTGTCATTTTTATTGAATCTTCCTGAGCTTTACTCTGGCAATACACTCATTAAAAATCTCCTTTTGCATGAATCAGAACTGAGCAAGAATTTCAGGTTACAAAACCACATCTTCATTTTGTGTAACTACGGGACAACTAGTTAGTAATACATTTTCATTTAAGACATCTGGTAAATCCAATAGATAAACTAGATTCAAAATGTTTTTCCTGGAAAACTCTTTTGTCCGTGATATGTATTTTTAATTTTTGTGGCACTTGGCTCTTGATTACTTCTGCTAAAGAGTGACTACAGCAGCCGGTGCATAGAACAGAGCGGCATAGACTGGCTTTGCCAGCACCCTTCAGAATGAATCAAAGCTCTTCTGATGAAAACCCTTAAACTACTATGTCTTTTAATAAAGCGGTGCTTCTCCTCCCATCCTCTCAGACGAAGTCATTCTGTGATGTATGTTACCTTTGGTATTGACAGTCCACAATAAGCAAAAAAAAAAAGTTCTAAATTATAATCTATTTTCTTCAAAGGAAGCCTGAGGATAGGTTTTCAATGAATTTTAACTATAGGGAGAATCAGAAGTATGTCTCTTATTTTACAGTAAAGTTCACTCAGGACAAAAAAAAAAAAAAAACAGGTTATGCATTTTTTAAGATACCTCGGCTTCAAATTAATTTAAATGCATAAATTTATCAATTAACTTGAACATTCTGGAAAAAATGTATGACATACTCAAAGAGCAAAAACTGTAAAAAGGACTTTTTTTCATAAAAGCCCAATTTCTGCTTTAAATGGAAAATGGATCCTAAGCCTCAACATAAAGTTGGAACCCAGCACTTCCACCAAAGATTTAGAACCTAACTTTGATGGCACAGAATTTATTCGTAAAGCTTACAAAACCTAAGAAATTTAGCCTCTGCCTTAGTCATAGAAAGCCCAGACTATTTTATACAGTTTCTATATTTTCCAAGATCACTTCTGCCTCTCACAACAGCACAGATTCTTCAAGTACCATGCTCCTGGGCCACTTATGCCACCAACTGGACTTATTATCTTTACTGAATGCTCTAACTGCACAGAGAGGCAATCAGGGAATGACAATAACACAATATTACTCAATGTCAAGCTTCCTGCAGGGTTTCATAGGGCCCAGGCTATTAAGAGGAGCCACCCACAATCTATTCACAGAGCTACATTCTCTTTGGCAAGACGAGGAAAGAGGATAGCAGCTCTATTTCCCAACTATCATCATCAGGAGTGTAACCCCATCCTCCCAGCTGTCCTTCTCTTTTCTATCATTCTGACATTTTCTTCCCTGCACACACAAACTACCCCAATAATACTGTAACACTTCATTTACCCGCACGTATCTGTTGCAGAAATACCTTTGTTGCATTCTTCTACACTTTTTCTAAGAGGTGTTTTGCAGTCATTTCAATCTGTCTATATTTTTTAAGAAACAGCAAATGATATCAGCTGCAGAAAAGTATACTCCATTTCACTTCATTTCTAAACTATGGACTGTGTTTAGGCTTCTCTGTTCAGTTTGATTTTCTGTTTTAATTCTGATCTTTATTCTTATACCTACGCACAGAAATGCACTGAACAGGCTGATACTCTGCAGCAGCATCAATTTTCTATTCTAAACCAGTAACCCAGTTAACAACAAGAAAGTCAACTGCAATGTGGGGCTTTCTGTAACCAAAACAGCAAAAAGAGATTTTATTAGGGATTCTAAGTGAAAAGAAAGGAAAAAAACCAACAACAAAAAGAACCCTGTATTTTTTGGAAGGTAAGGAGCGTTTTTAATACTCTTGGATCTGCCATATATTTCTAGAAACAAGCTGACGAACCCCCAAAAGCACTTGGGAGTTAACTACTTAGGCAGTTCTCTTTGAAGAGCCCAGCACTTCCTTTTAAACACTACAATCTAATTAAAAGGATTAGAGATTCAAATGGCCAAGCTTCCATTGACTTCCCAAACTAATCAAGTTTATTACATTTTTTCAACTTAATAATCCAGCTAACAAAGATAAACCCATTTATTAAAGCAATTTTTGAATACATTACATATCCCTTTAAGGCAAATAGTAGTCTAAAATCTATGAAGAATAGCTATCAAACATAAAAAGAATCCAGTTACCCAGATAAATTTTGAGTACAGTATGTGTGCAGTACATCTGCATTTAAGGACATTATGTACTCTGCAGTACATCTGCATTTTGATGACATTCTGTTCACAACGGAACCTGGTTATTTCATTTTCTCCTCTCATATGAGTCACATTCTCACGTGTTGAACTTTCCCTAGCGTGGCACATCTTCTTTATCACTAAACTTTAGGTCACTGAATCATGTCAAGGAAATGGGCAAGCAAATGGAAAACTATCTTTGCCCCTCAAAGGCAAATGCACATACTGCAGCTAAGAGAAAGGTATGAGACCTGGCTGGTGGCAAATAAGGGCAGTAGACAAAAGAATTGGATCACTCTAGATCCCTTGAATAAACGAAGGAAAAAAAAAAAAGTATTTATTCAAGACCAAATTGCTTGAGACCACCTCAAACACTGAAATTCTAAGTGTTTGTGGAACAGATTATCTTTAAAACTGGTCCTTAAAAATAATGACAAAGTACATTAAGGAAAGGGATTCAAGGAACCTGCAATGCTCTCTACGAAAAGGCATCCTCTTAGTGAGAATCTGTCTTGACGTTGCTTACAGTAACACTTCAGGCAGGGGAAACACCAGAAGAGGTCTAATACATTAAATTCCTTTCTGGCCCCACAAATACAGTTCTGCTGTAGACACCACGGCAGTGGTTAGATAAATCGGCTTTTCCTGCTCTCCACCTCTTCCAGTGGACAAATGAGCTATGTATGCTTGCCAAGCTTAATGCTTTCTGAAAAATTGTCCCCTCTTGAGTGAGTGTGGTCAAAGACTAGTCAAGTAAAGATCTGTATATGAACTCAAAACCGTTGCTACA